GGACTGGGAGGGACTGGGAGGGCCTGGGAGGGGATTGGGAATGGGATTGGGAATGGGTTAAAGGAACTGGGATGGACTGGGATTGACTGGGATGGACTGGGAACAAACTGGGATGGACTGGGAGGGGATTGGGAGGGATTGGGAGGGACTGGGATGGACTGGGAATGGACTGGGTTGGGATTGGGAATGGGTTAAAGGAACTGGGATGGACTGGGAATGAACTGGGAGGGACTGGGAGGGATTTGGGGAGGATTTTGGGGGCATTTGGGGTCACTGGGAGCAACTGGGAGGATATTGGGATGAACTGGGATGGACTGGGATGGACTGGGATGGACTGGGATGGGATTTTGGGCCCACTGGGAGCACTGGGAGGGACTGGGACGTGACACAGGACACTGCGGTGACACCGGGAGGTGACACAGGGGACACTGAGGGTCACGGTGACACTGTGGTGACACTGATGTCACTGTCCCCAGGTGTGGCAATGTCATGGAGTGTGGTGCCATCACCCTGGGGTGACACTGGGGTGACATGGGGACACTGTAACTGTCACAGGGACACTGTGGGTCACACAGGGACACTGTCACTGTCACAGATGTCACACAGGTGACACTGAGGTGACACTGATGTCATTGTCCCCAGGTCTGGCAGTGTGATGGAGCGCCGCGCCATCACCCCCCCCCGTGGGGTCACCCATGGGGTCCCTGTCCCTGTCCCTGGGGTGACACTGGGGGTGACAATGGGACACTGGGGTGACACAGGGACACTGTAACTGTCACAGGTGACACTGATGTCACTGTCCCCATTGTCCCCAGGTCTGGCAGTGTGATGGAGCGCCGTGCCATCACCCCCCCCGTGGGGTCACCCGTGGGACGTCCCCTGGCGCTGCCACCGGGAGGGGACAGAACCGCGCTGGCACTGGACAAGATCGCCAAACGAGAGTGCAAAGTGCTGGTGGTGCCACCCGTGCAGTGACACCTTGGGGACATCACTGGGGACATTGGGGACATCACTGGGGACATTGGGGACATTGGGGACATCACTGGGGACATCATTGGGGACATTGTGGGGACATTGTGGGGACAGAGCGGCGCTGGCACTGGACAAGATCGCCAAACGAGAGTGCAAAGTGCTGGTGGTGCCACCCGTGCAGTGACACCTTGGGGACACCATTGGGGACATCACTGGGACAGCCTGGAACAATGGGGACGTCATGGGAACAATGGGGACATCATTGGGGACATTGTGGGGACACCATTGGGGACATTGGGGACATCACTGAGGACAGCCTGGGACCATGGGGACATCATTGGGGACACCATTGGGGACACCATGGGGACAGAGCGGCGCTGGCACTGGACAAGATCGCCAAAAGAGAGTGCAAAGTGCTGGTGGTGCCACCCGTGCAGTGACACCTTGGGGACATCACTGGGGACAATGGGGACACCATTGGGGACATCATTGGGGACAGCCTGGAACAATGGGGACATCATGGGGACATCACTGGGGACATCATTGGGGACATTGTGGGGACACTGTCAGGGTCCTGGTGGTGCCACCCGTGCAGTGACATCATTGGGGACAATGGGGACACCTTGGGGACAATGGGGACACCTCGGGGACATCGGGGACAGGGCCACCCCCGTGTCCCCAAAGCCAGGTG